ATAATACTATGGTATTTTATGTAGTACCATATAAATAACATGATACTTGGATGCAGTAACAGTGCCACAATACAGATACCACAATATGATTATTATCATACTGTGATAATCCATGAATTATGTTAAATTATAATCCATGAATTATGGACTTTTCTGTCTGTGTAAAATCTGTTCTAATGATCCTTGGTTGTATGAAAAAGTCACTGTTTTGTTTTGCCTCGTAATGATATTGTTTATATTGTTGTAGTGATCTTAGATTTTTGGTTTCAAGTGTGCATTTTATTGGACAAAATATGCTTTACTTTTGGAAATTATACTTATTAGTTGCAATGATAATATAACTAGTTGGTTTCTATTCAATTGTGTCAGTATAATTTTTCATTTGAATGGTTCTGGCACCCTACTATCTGTAGAGTTTGTAGGCACTGATTCCACACTGTCATAAGTTAGTCTAAATCCCTTCATTGGACTCGTGCAAAGTAGGTGCAATGTCACCCAAATTAGCTGCCCTTCCCCACCGAGGGGTGGCATGAAACAAGTTTCGAGTTTGTAACGTGGGATCGCGTGTCACCATCGTGAAGTCAGTCGCTGAGTGGCCTCTGTCCGTCGGGATTGGAATAGCATGGGGACCCTCTTTAAAAGAGACCCAGATAAGCAACCCTTAAGTATGTGGACAGAAACTAAACTGGCTGGGGTGAAAAAGTTGAAGCCTAATTATCAGGCTCATTATAGAACGCCAAGGAGTCAAGTTTTCCTTATAATTGTCTCTGCTAGCTAGTATCTGTTTGATCTTTTTCTGTTTACAAGTTGGGGTTTGTTGCTCCAAGCTAATAGGTTACAGCTTTTCAGTCTTTCATCAAAGTGTCCATCAAGGTATCGTATGTACAGCATGAGATAAACATATGGTTGAGCCATTCCCTCCTGTCCCCACGCCGGGAACACAACAAGTATAATTTTTCATTTGAAAGGTTCTGGCACCCTACTATCTGTAGAGTTTGTAGGCACTGATTCCACACTGTCATAAGTTAGTCTAGATCCCTTCATTGGACTCGTGCAAAGTAGGTGCAATGTCACCCAAATTAGCTGCCCTTCCCCACCGAGGGGTGGCATGAAACAAGTTTCGAGTTTGTAACGTGGGATCGCGTGTCACCATCGTGAAGTCAGTCGCTGAGTGGCCTCTGTCCGTCGGGATTGGAATAGCATGGGGACCCTCTTTAAAAGAGACCCAGATAAGCAACCCTTAAGTATGTGGACAGAAACTAAACTGGCTGGGGTGAAAAAGTTGAAGCCTAATTATCAGGCTCATTATAGAACGCCAAGGAGTCAAGTTTTCCTTATAATTGTCTCTGCTAGCTAGTATCTGTTTGATCTTTTTCTGTTTACAAGTTGGGGTTTGTTGCTCCAAGCTAATAGGTTACAGCTTTTCAGTCTTTCATCAAAGTGTCCATCAAGGTATCGTATGTACAGCATGAGATAAACATATGGTTGAGCCATTCCCTCCTGTCCCCACGCCGGGAACACAACAAAGTTTTGTTTTGCGATTCCGTTTATGGTGTGGTCTATATTTGTGTAGAATGCCATCACTAACCACTGTCAACAGCTGCCTGCGCATGCTATTTAAAGCTCTCTGATGTGTAATATCAGAGGAGTCAACATGAAGCGATGGATGCGGTTTCTTCACAGTTCCCTTCACCTACCCTTTTCTTCACATTTGTAAACCTGCCACTCTCGTGTCCTGTGCCGGGATGCAGGTGTGATCGCTTGGCGATGTTTCACTATTACGACCTGTCAGATTCTCTGGATATTTACAGAGGGTCACATGCACCGCTAGCGTGTGTGTTTTATCGTTGACAAGTTAATGTACATTTTGTGTTTGAAGGTCAAGAGACGTGTTTTATATCCTGATGATGGGCTGGCAGCTCACGGCATATATGTTCTTTGGGTTAAGTTTGGTTTTAAGGGCAACTTTTATGTTTCAACAGCTGCCCGCGCGTGCTATTTAAAGCCCTCTGATGTGTAATATCAGAGGAGTCAACATGAAGCGATGGATGCGGTTTCTTCACAGTTCCCTTCACCTACCCTTTTCTTCACATTTGTAAACCTGCCACTCTCGTGTCCTGTGCCGGGATGCAGGTGTGCTCGCTTAGCGATGTGTCACTATTATGACCTGTCAAATTCTCTGGATATTTACAGAGGGTCACATGCACCGTTAGCGTGTGTGTTTTATCGTTGACAAGTTAATGTACATTTTGTGTTTGAAGGTCAAGAGACGTGTTTTATATCCTGATGATGGGCTGGCAGCTCACGGCATATATGTTCTTTGGGTTAAGTTTGGTTTTAAGGGCAACTTTTATGTTAAAGGACATGTCAGAATGAAAATAAATCTAATAGGCTAATCTAAATTTAAAACAAAAACTCAGCCTTTAGTTTCTGATCACATTCTTTTACTGTTACAATAATGTGCTTTTAGTAGGGTTGCAAAGGGGTGGAAAATTTCCGGAAAATTTCCAAAAATCCCTGGAATATTCCAAAAAAATCCTGGAAAGTTTCCAAAATTTCTGGAATGTTTCCGAAATTTGCTGGAAATTTTCCACCTTTTTGCAACCCTAGCTTTTAGTATTTCAATGAAAGTACTGGATGCTTTAACTAACTTGTTTATTACAGCTCAGTTTGATACATGAGCTTTAAGTTTGAATTTTGAATGGCATACTAATCTTCCCTGTTGACAGCTGCCTCGGCCGTCTTGGCCCCAGCCTAATTTGTCAAAGATTTTGTCTTGCAAAGTCCAGCTTTCGTCGCTGTTGTTCGCTCTTGTAAGTTGCCCAGGGCTGTGTTGTTGCCCCGAGCCCAACATAGATCCATAATCACGTGGATTCCCTGTAATGTGCCACTATTCACGGATACTGTGTCCCTGTCTGCTGTATTTGGTGACAAATATCTTGCTTATTAGCAAACAGCAGGCATGGTCATTTCGAATAATTTTGTGTTTGAGTACTCTAACACTGATTTTCAAACTATTCGATGCCAAGAACCCCCAAATATGATGATGATACCCTTTGCAAAGCAATTCCCTTGAAATATAGAGGTGGTTATATATTTTCATTAGAGGTGTGCGATAACACGATTTTAGGATGATTAAAATGTCTCCACAATCTGCTTTTGAAGAAATATCGTAGTTTCCTGCTACATCTGTCGCCTCCGTCTCAATATACTGTACAACGTGACATACATTCATAAAACACTCAAGGTTTACATATAAACACACATGGTTATGTCGAAAGTGAAAGTACACAGTTGAGAGAAAAACAGATGCGTGCATGTATATTAGATGTGTGACAGCAGGCTAATTGTAAACATGCTGCCACTTGTCATTTAAAGGGATAGTTCACCCCAAAATTAAAATTCTGTCATAATTTACTCACTCTCATGTGGTCCCAAACCTGTATTAATTTGTGCTGAACACAAAAGAAGATATTTTGAAGAATGTGGGTAAACAAACAATTGCTGGGGGGGGGGGAACACTATGAAAGTCACTGAGGACCAGCAACTGTTTGGTTGCCCACATTCTTCAAAATAACTTTTATGTTCAACAGAGGAAAGAAATTCATTCAGGTTTAAAACAACTTGAGAGTGAGTAAATGATGACAGAATTTTCATTTTTGGGTGAACTATCCCTTTAATGTTAATAAAACAACAAATCACAAAGAGAAAAATCACTCACTGCTCTTGACTTAAGAACTTTAATACAGTTGCTTTAATGAGAATCAATGTATAATTTATACAGTGAAGTGTATATAGTGTTTTACTTTTATATTTGTTCATTCAATTTCTTGAATGCTACTGCTAAATACACCTACTGTACCTGAAAAATAAAGCACTGTTTGTTTTATTTGTATATTATGTGTGTTTGTAATGTGTATCTTTGTTCTTATTTTTTAATAACAAAGATAAAATAATGTCAAAGATTTTTATCTTCACCCACTTTGCCATATATCACCCACCCCTAATTTTCATGTATGAACGCCCATTCATACTGTTAAGGAAAAGGGTGATATTATTAAAGACCTGCAAAATTAAATAATTTTTTATTCTTGCTGTATTAAAGCCAAATCAAAATCCTAAAATATTTTCTGGAAATACTGACTTATTATTAAATGTGTCTTTTCTTTTACTACTTCAGAGCAGTCTTACAGTTAACTTTAGAGTTGAGTTAAAGTGTTTTTTTTTAATTCACTTTGTCGGGCAGAACCCTATTGCAACCCTCTATGAAAAATAATGGGCTATTGAAAATTAAAATTAAGTAAATTGTGAGATTACTTGAGGAATTCTTAGCAGAGATGCAAAGAACAATCAATTTGTGCTATTTAATAGTGTTTTTAGTGGTTGACTAGTTAGTGCAGAACAAGTATGCAAAATTGCTGTTTGACATGTCTTTTTTCCCCCTCAACCTGTGTCAGACTCAAAAGCATTGTTGTTGTATGTCGTATGCTGAAGCTCAGATTCTGGAGTAAGTTTTGGGGAGCTCATGGGTGTGACAGACATGTGTTTCCAATTAATAAAAGCTCCACTCCACCCTTTCTGAAATCGATAGACATAGTTTCATCCTATACAGTTAAAAAAGCAGTTACGCAAAGGCTTTCACTGAAAGATTTTACAACACTGTAAGAAGACTGCTTGTTTTAATCAATATCTCAAAATGTGACTTAGACATGCTTTGGATTTGGTCTTAATTTAAGGTACCGTATATAATTACTAAAATGTTTTTGCAACGTTTTGGCAAGTTTTTGTATCCATTTTTTTTATTCTGATGTTTGTACTCATCTGTATATTTGTAATATAAGACCAGTTATTACGGATCATTTATACATGCTTACGAATACAGTCATCTCATAACAAGCGTAAGCTGTCGGAACTAGCCGAGCGTATCATGTATGCAAAGATATATGACGGTGAACAGCAGGGTAGCTGTTGGTGTGATATGATTGCTTCTCGTTTCCCAGGTGCCCCTCCACATGCTGCATCCTCATCGAAGAAACCCCGCAGTCGTGGCATTTTCCACAGTCTCTTCTGCTGCCTTTGTCATGACGAAACGGATCACGTGCCTGTCAATAACAACGCCCCGCTGCTGGTGGAAGAGAATGGAACCATCTCAAAAGTAAGAGTTATTTCAGTTTTGGTAACTTCTTATTTTGACGTCCCGCTGCCTCCCCGCCCTGTACTCTCTAGCGTTTTCTGAATACTGGCCAGCTTGTGGTTAACACGACCGAGAGCCACATGATCAACTGTGATAGTGAGGAAACCAAAACCTCAAGTTAGCTTTTGTGCAATTATTTTCCTGTTTACGAGTTGAATATACCATGATGAGAATTAATCTCATTTGCATTCATGTAGGGACCCTAAATTACTCTAATGTTATTAATTTATTTAGCAAAAAGAAAAGCTATCTGTTCTCATAATTCCCAACTAATTGCAAGCCGATATGAAGATATGTCAGAAATTTTGCCACTCATAATTCCATTGAACTAATTATTCAAGGAAAAAAGCATGGCTGTGAACAACTACAAGTAGATCGGGTGTCAAGACGCTGTAGGTGTTGGATTCAGATTTATGCCTTACTTCAGCTTTTTATAGTGATTTGATACACCAGGAGTTATTTGTCACGTCTCTAAAGCACCAAAATAAATTGGTAGGTGTCCTGAAGGCGGGCTGAGTGCAGGGTTCAGTGGAGTCTCAACCCCTCTGTCATGTCAACGTGCACATTGCTGCTGGTGTCTCAGGCAGGCTGTGGGCTCAACGAATCCCTTCAGCCTTGCGCGCCTCCTCTGCAAACGCAGATCTCTGACTCTCCTTGCAGGCTCTCTGGAGAAAGCAAACCTATGGGAGAATGTTTGGAGTGTTTCCCTTCTTCTGACCTTTGCCAGTGTTTTGGAGAACGGATGTCTTTTGTCGAAAGCAACATTACTAAGTACTTGGAATCCTCTGCCTTTTTTAAAAGCGAGCACTCCGAAGTAAACATGCCCGCTGAACTATGCTTTGGCCATTCTGAGGTCTCTGGACAAGGAGATCCTAAAAAGGAAAACCAGTCTTTGGAACGTGCTGCAGAATTGTGCACAGAACAAGAAGCACTTATTGAATCCACTGCACACCAAAACACCATCAGGGTGAAAGAGGCTGATGGGCTTTGCTTTGAAAATGGTCAAATCAGTGGTGAATTTTCATATCGGTCTTGTTCATCTGGATACAGCTCTTTGTTGGACAGCTGCTCTGAGCACAGTGAGTGTTTTGAAATAAGCAGTTCTTCAGTTGACTTGGTTGAAATAAGCCAAAATGAACTTGGCATTGCATTTGAGCGAAGTGATCAAAGTGAGATTTCTGAACATGATGCCGAACAGTTAACTTTATCTGAGATGAGCCTAGATGATTGTGAGTCTTTTCAACAAGATGATGCAGAACAGATAATTTTAACTGAGATGAGACTAGGTAGTTGTGACTCTTTTAAACAACATGATGCAGTACAGTTAAACTCATCGGAGATTAGCTCAGACCTTTGTGAGTTTATTCTGCAAGATGATGCAGAACCGGTAGAGTTTAGCCCAGACTGTTTTCACCATGATAATGCGGAAGAAATCATTTTGTCCGAGATGAGCCTAGATGATTGTGAATCTTTACCACAAGATTATACAGAACTAGTAATGGAGGGAGATCTTTGTGATTCCTTTCCACAAGTTGATGTTGAGTCCTCACAATTAGATCCTTCAGATCATGAAATGCTTTCTGAATGTGATGGAGAATATCAGGAACAGTACAACAAGTGTGAAAACAGCAGTCCTGAAGACAGTATATCTGATCAAAACGGTGTAGTTGAACTAGATTCCGAAGACTGTGAGACATCTAAACCGTCTGAACCTAACAATCAAAACAAGCTTGATAAATACCATGCCACACATTTTGAATCCCCTGAACTGTGTCAGGACTCTAAAGAAAGTAAGCCATCTGACCACTGTGTGTCCCTTGAGCACACACAGCTTACTGGGCAAATGGACACCACTGATGACAGAGTTCTGCTAAACAGCCTAGATGATTGCACTTGTTCGTCTGAGACCTTTGATTGTAGTTGGACCTTTGACTCCCCAACTGAAGGGCATCAAGACTGTAACCGACTCTCTGAGCACAGCAAATCCTCTGTATGTTTTAAGGTTTTAGAGCAATGCACAAGTTGTGGAACATACTTTGAGAAATGTTATGTGCGTGAACAATGCACTCCCGCTGTGCCCACTGACCATTCTGAGGGCCCACATCAAAGCAGACTTGCAGAAGAATGCCCTGAGTCTTCAAGAACACACAGCTCTGTCTTTCACATCCCTGAAGTAACCAAAGAAAATTTGCCTAATCATAGCAGCAGAACTGAGGTTAGGAAACCATCTCAGTCCGATGCCATGTTTTCTGGATCAATGGAAACCTTTGAGGCTCGGTGGCTTTCTCAGTTTCTTACTGATCTTTTGAGGCATACTAATAATAAGGAGACTTCAAGTCTTGCTGCTGAAATCAGTGAGTCAAATGGAGAGGTAGAAACCTCTGAAGTCGTAGATTGCAAGCAAGAAGTTCAAGCTTTGGATATCTGTAGGAAGCTCTGTAGAAAGTGTGATGAGTTGGAGAACGGGAAATGTTGTAATGATGAAACTCCTCAATCTTTTCAACTTGCTGATGATGAGGAGGTAAAGTTTGAACACCACTTGAATGTGGACATCTCCCTGGATGCAGTGACCACAGCAGCAGGTTCTTCAGATGAATCGAGCGAGGAGGAGTACAGTGACTGCATGGATGGTAAAAGTCAAGGTAGCTCTGAAACGGAATCATTCAAAAGTTTTGTTGACTTGGAATCGTTTGAAATCTTCTCAGATCAACCATGTGATACGGAAAATCTAACGGAGGATGATGAGTCCATGATTCAAATTCTACAGCCAGATGAGTACCCTGATGAAGGTAAGGATAAGAACTTCGGTATGTATGCACAGGAAAAGTTAGGTGCTTGTGAAGAAGCATGTGAGATTGATTCTGAGCGACAAGAGACAGGAAAGGAAAGCAGTAAAACGTATGCTGAAGCTGTAGCTGTTGGACTTGACCTGGATCAGATCCATGAATGTGCCAAACCAGATGAGGTCCATGAAGCTGAAGATTATGGGCCTGGTTTTATGGATGAATGCTTCTTGTTGTATTCTGAGGGCAGGTATGATGAACTTTGCCACAAAAATGGAGAGGTCATTGAACCCCATGTTGAGATGGATGTGCAAGTGTCCTGTGTTGCAGCTGTTGAAGCTTATGGACTTGAAGAAGTGGTTGAAAATGCTTTCGACAGTGTATCTGATGATTCCACAGGATTGTGTGCTGTGAAGGACACATTTCAAGGAGCTGATACTTCAGAATCTCCTGTTGAAGAAAGTACATTGTTGGAAACTGAGGTCAGTCAGGATTTAACTGAAAATTACACTTCTGAGAACACGGAAAGTGTACAAGATCTCAGTTCTGTGGTTGAAATCGATGAAATCAAGGAGACACACTCTGACTTTGATGAAACTGAGGGGGCTCATGGACCTTGTTGTGGAGAGATTGAAACTACTGAAGATGAAGAAACAAACCTTTTTGACTTTGAGGATGCTGTGGGATGTTCTGAGGAATGTGACGATGGTAAAGAGACCCCGACTGCTGATCAGCTGGTCTCTTGTGCCTTTGGGGAGCAGTCAAACATAGAGACTGGCACTCTTTGGGTATCAGATGGTCAGCAAGAGGCCAACACCGAGCCAAAAGATCCCTCTGGACTTCTTGATCCTCCTGGAACAGATGGTCTGTCTGAGCAGCACCAGAAAAATGTAAAATTAGAGGAACTTATACATCAAGTTGCAAGAAGTGAAGCATCTGAACAAGACACGTTTTTTAAGTCCGACCAAAAAAGCTGTGAACAGAGTCATTCTTATGAGGAGAGTGATGTATCTGAAGATGAAGAGTACCCAGAGGACTGTGATTGTGAATTCTGTCTTCCGCCCATAGATCAGGTACCTTTTTCTTAGGGGAGACACTTGCTAATTGAGTTTAGAAAAGTCTGTATGCATGAATTTGATCGTTCAATGTCAAAACATTTTGCTTGTAAAAGAATGCAATTAGTCTGTTCTGTTTTGAGTTGCCAGACATTCTTGCCATCTCTGTTTTTGCTTCGGATTTTAATTAGTATGAAGTCAGTAGCAACAGAACTAAAATAAGACGCCATGCTGGGTTCTGATTCCATGTCATATGTTCTGTTATTTAAATCAGAGTCATCTGTACACTCTCCAACTTGGTAATGAATCCGGAAGCGCCTGCCGGTCTTGAGATGTTCATTCTGTAAGCGTAGGACAGAGTCAGTTTCAGACTGTGTGTGCACTGTGTACTTTTCGATAAAAAATTGGTTGGCCAGCAGCTTTGATATCCCACCCAAGCTGCAGCCAGTCACTTGATCTTCCTCTGCTTATGGAATGCTAGTGCTAAAAGAGCTACCTTATGCCCCCTTATGAATACTCATATCTATAACTAATACACCCTGTTTGGGTTGGGCTCTATGACCAAAGTCTTATCATGGTGTATTTGCGTAATGTTAATTGTGCACTACTGTACAAAAGTTTGAAGTCAGTTAAAAAAAAAATGAGCAAGAGATTTCTTTAAAAAAAATATGCGGACCCCAAACTTTTGAATGGTAGTGTATATATTATAGTTTTATTTTTTATAATTTTTTTTATAATTTTATAATTTATATATTTTTTTCTTGAAGTTCAATGGAAAAAACATTTGAATCCCAAAAAAAAAAAATGAAATCACTTTGCTCAACGATACATAGGGTGCTTAGATCAGTGAAAATCATAATTACTTCAAGTGAAAAAAAAAAGCAGGATCCGCACTCACTTGTAAACCTAATCAATGTTTTTTTTAGATTTTTATTGCACAAAAAGCACAAATAGATCATCAGGATCGTCAAAGGTTTAGTTTTTTTTTTATATTTTACCATTTGGTAATGACTTTTTTAATATTCCAGTGAATGAAATATATTATAAATATGTTTTTCTATTTAATTTTTATGTATTTTTTGGAACAAATAATGAAAGTGTGACATAGGCTAATACCTGGGTTAAAACAAAAAACTCAAACAGTTAAAGCTGTAGTCCGTAACTTTTTTGTGTTCAAAATGTACAAAATTTATATAATAAGCGAGTACACCATGAATCCATTTTCCAAACTGTGTTTTTGGCTTGTCCTGAATCACTACGGTACACCTATAATAAGTGTTTATATTCAGACTATTTAGACTGGTTCGGGTAGGTACCGCTGCGGAGTAGCCCAGTACCTGCGTGATTCGCCATAGACATAAAACAGAGAAGTAGCTCCGGCTACAATGTTCTTCCGCAAGACGCACGCAGTTCTGTTTATTAACCGCTAGAGCGCCAAAAGTTACGGACTGCAGCTTTAAACTAGTATTATAAAACGGATATTTCTTTTAAATTTTCTTTAAATTGTGGACACATCATGCTTAGTGTTTTGCATTTTTCCATGTGACTTTATACCTCTCACATTTTTACACGGGACTTAATAGCTCTAAATAATGTGAAGCAACCCTGTCCCTCAATAGATACTCAGGCAAACATATAGAATTTCAAATAAAATCTATACCAGTTGACGCATGTTACTGTCTATCATACACTACATATGGTCACACCAGCTAGCCCTACACAGGGCTCGCAAAATTTCAAAATCCCTGGTAGCCCTTCGAGCAGGCATTCTTCAGATTTTGGTAGCCCAAAAATGAATTAAACTAGCCCGAATACAAGATATTGTATTTTTTCTTCAAATAACAAGTCAAGAGAGTAGGGGTGCAACGGATCACAAATCTCACGGTTCGGATTATATTACATTATCATATCACATTTTGAGTCACAGATCGGATCATTTTTCAGATGAGCAAAAAAACGAAAGAGGAATCAATTCTGTGTTCGTGCTCTGCCTGAAACGCCGCTCTGTATGTGCGCGCAAGCACGGAACTTGTTGTCTACTATCAGACTAAGATACATAATATAAGATGCAAAAATACAAAACATAAATTGTTTTGTATAGCTGACATGCAATTTCAGTCTTTATTTGTATGATAATGTCTGTGACATAAGAAGCTATACTGTATTTCTTACTGTAAAATAGCTTGTTGTTGTAAATGCCAACTTCTACTTATTTACCAGTGTCCTTGACATGTTTATTGCAGGTCCCAGCCAAACCACTTCTTCCACAGATAAAGTCTAAAGATGTAGGGAAGATCTGTGTAGTCATTGATCTGGATGAAACACTAGTCCACAGTTCATTCAAGGTAAGTCAGTGTGTTGAGCCCTGTTTTTCCATCACTTTATTGCTGGCGGCGGGTGTGAATAAACTATATATGTCACATGTGCTGTTGGTAGCCCAAGTAATCATATCATGGATATGGGATACACTTGACTCAAATGTTATAGATAGATATTTAACACCATTGCATGCATTCACATCACAAACTTTAAAGCTGAAGTGTCATTTATCTGATGTTCTCCTGTTCATGTTTGAAGGGATAGTTCACCTAAAAAGGAAAATTCTGTCATTGACTCACTCACCGTCATGTTGTTCCAAACCTGTAAGACTTGCTTTCTTCTGCAGTACTCAAAATAAATATTTAGAAGAATGTTTCAGTGTTTCTTGTCTATACAATGATAGTCAGTTGGGTCCAGTGTTGGTTTGCTTTGGACCAGGGGTGTCCAAACTCGGTCCTGGAGGGCCGGTGTCCTGAAAAGTTTAGCTCCACCCCCAATTAAACACACCTGAACCAGCTAATCAAGCTCTTACTAGGCATTAGTGATGCGCGAATGAGCTAAAACGTCACCCGAATCCGCAGCTTCAAATAAATTATCCACCCGCCAACCGCCCGCACCTGTATTTTTGTCTGATTTAGATAACCGCACTCTTCAAGAGATTTCTGAATTTTGGAACATTATTATTTTTTCTCTATATAGTGTTGATATGACAACTAGTAAATACCGTAAGTTTTGTAATACAAGCTATGTGTGGAAATGTTTAAACCATGTGTGTTTTGGACAGTGTTGGGCAAGTTACTCTGAAAATGTAATTAAATGTATTACTCCTTTTAAAAGTAATCACGTTACTGTTCGGATTACTTTATTTCAAAAGTAATTAGTAATTAGTTACATTACTAGTTACGTTACTTTTTTCTCCATGAAATTCATGAAATCCCAGCATACTCGCTCCCGATAAGTATTTGTTATTAAAGCATCAACATTCACATAACACTGTTATTTTTAACTAAAGCAAGCGGCTGCTGCGTGCATGGTTTGGCATGGCAGAATGCCAGCAAAGAGCGCTGCATTTATAATCTCTAAAAGACATCTCAGTTCATCGCAATATCACAAATCTCTGTTATAACACAATAAATATATGCATAATTAATCGAATAGCCTAAATAGAAACTCTGCATAGGCTTGCACCTTGTTAATCGTTTATATTTTATATTAGTTCATGTTGCTTATGTGCAATAGATGAATAACAATTTATTTGTTTTAGATATTTTATGTTTAGATATTTCTATTTTGCGGGAGTCCCGTGAATCATTTTATTCTCCCGCACACACACGAGTCTCTGCACTCGTCTATCAAGTCTTGTCCCGCGCTGCACTCTGTTGCGTCTGGTCTTGCGGGAGAGCAGGTCTCTAATCCACTGGCACTTGACTCGACAGTGCGTGTGCTACATCCTTTTTACAATCTAGATTAGAAATCACTGCATTCTGCCAGCAATTAGCTGACCTCGGCTTGTAACTATACTCTAATTACTATTTTGAAAATTATAACACGTTAAATTACTCCATTACTAAAAAAGTAATCAAATTACAGTAACGCGTTACTAAGTAATGCGTTACTGCCCAACACTGGCTTTGGACACCACCGACTTTAATTATATGGACAAAAACAGTTGAAACATTGCTTAAAATATTACTGCAGAAGACAGCAAGTCTTACAGGTTTGACATAAAGGTGAGTAATGATGACAGAAATTTCATTTCTGATTTAACTATCCCTTTAATGTGCATAGACAACTGTAAGTTGATTTCTCTGAAAAGTGTACAAACTGTGGCTCTGTGATGCCATCATGCTATCATGTAGTGCTGGGCGGTATACCGGTTCATACCGAATACCGGTGTTTATTTTTCTTATGATATGAATTTTTAAAATACCGCAATACCGGTGTTGTTTAAATAATGTTCAGAACGTGTTTGAGGGGGGGGGTCTCTTTTCACTGTTGCGAGGACACAGCTGTATGTGTTACTAAGCGTGAAAGTTCAGAAACTGAAGCTGTAGAACTAATAGAACATGATGACACAGAAGAACTCATCTATTCACTCATCGTGACAGTAAAATAGGGCATTCTAAGTCAATCTACTGCAGTAGCCTATTTCCTCTCTCAATCAGTATAAAATGTGGTTTACACCCGGTCATGCATGGAAAAAAAAAATAATACCGTGAAACCGGTATAATTTTGAAAAATACCGTGATATAAATTTTTGGTCATACCGCCCACCACTACTATCATGTTTGTTTGAGCTGCCTAACCAGCAACAAACTCAACCAATGGCGTTAGTTTGAGACCGGACTTTCTGTTTGTCCAACCAATGGCAGATGGTGGGAGGGTTTAGGAAACGTTTGTAGAAATACAATACAATACTTTGTTTTTGAAATACTAATTGTTGACAGTGGTGCAGAATGTTTTGCTGATTGTGCCATTGTAAATACAAGTAAGCTTATTTGAGCCGGGGGAAAGCATCAAGTTGACTAGAGAAAGTGCAGTATGCTTCTTTTGGTTAAATAATTCTGTCTAATTGTGCCTTTACTGTTTGTTTTTACACACACACGCATGCACTTTTCTGGAGAAATGCGGCATTCCCTGATTTGACTCTTTATGGAAGAATTTTTTTCTCCTGCTGCATGACATCATAAATGTGCTATGTGCACAATTTGGGAAAGCCAGGAAAAAATGAATGTTTTCCTCTCGGGAGTGTCAGCAGCGACACTGTTCTAATGACTTTGGCTACTTGCAATCAGGAAGTGAACTCTAAGTATATTGAGTTGATTAAATATAAGCGGTTTGTTTAAAAGTAGTTCATCCAAAAATATAAATTCTGTCATTATTTATTTTCACCTCATGTTTTAAATCTACACGTTGTTATTGTTTTACTTACTGTGAAACACAAAAGGAGAATTACACTTTATACCGAGCAACAGTTCAGAGTAACCACAAACTCCAAAAGGACCAAAAAAAACGACACCAGAGCACATCAGTCTGATATTTATTTATTTATGACTAAACGTCATGGTTTTAAAAGACAGAGAATGTACTGCAAAGTCATATGGCAACTTTTATGGCACTTTTTTTCCATGTTTGGGGTGAACTTTTCCTTTCAAAGTCAGAAGTAAAACAAGTGTGATCTTTTAGCACAAGACAGCATGATGTTACTTCATGCCACATCTGTGAATGTAGGTCACGCTGTCCTGACATCTCTATAACACATAAACGTGATTATCTAACATTTGAGATTGAGTTTCTAGGCCTATCTAAAGAGCACTCTCAGGGTCTGTGGCAATGTTCTAAATAATGACTGGAGCCTGCTGGGTCTTTCATGTTCACTAACATCTTGTCAGTCATTGATCCAGTCACCTGCAATATAGATTTAACATATGTTCTTTTGCCTGCAACAGTTCAGTTTTATTGTTTTTTTTTCTTCCCAGCCGGTAAACAATGCTGACTTTATCATTCCAGTGGAAATTGATGGAACAGTACATCAGGTGAGCATAACATGTTCTCATAGAAGGGTGTTGAAGTCAGGCTGTTAAATTAAATTGTTAGCTGTAGACCTGCACAAATTAACTGGGGAAAAAAGATCGAGATTATGATAACTGCTGTTTCAGTAATGAAAGATGCCCATTTTGATGCCAATATCCTGGAAATATGACATCCTGAAGAACCTTTTCTTGAAAACAAGAAAAAGTGTGTGTGTATATATTTTTTCTTATATTCTTACTGTACTGAAGCCAAAGTAAACCACAATATTATCTGGAAAATATAAATTTTTTTACCAACTTATAGAGGTAATGTTAGATGTATAGACCTGAAAAAAAGCATTTAAATTCAGATTTGTTAGCAGTTTTACAGATAACTTTAAAGTCCCAAAAATACAACTTTTGTTTTCCTCAAATTTTCCACAGACCCCCTAGAACCCTTTTGCTGCCTCCTTGGTGTTCCCAGACTCCAGGTTGAAAGCCCTGAATTACAGTGTTCAATCAAAATAATGTATTTACATGTTTTGGCAATGGATGAGAATTGCAGCCAATCATAGTCCATTATACGCATGAATGCAGTGGTGACTCATAAGGTTTTAAATAAGTCTATAGGCCTGTCATTACTCATCCTAATTGGATGAACGTTTTATGTTTCACTTCTGTTCTCAGTGTGTGAAACTGTGATAATCTGCTGTAACAGCTTTGTTGATTATAATGTGAGCATTGTCATGTTTTCCTTTTACTTGCTTCCTGCAAACATACATTAAAAATGGTGTGCAGTTGTCCCACACAGAATATGTATTTATTTTAATGTAATTTCTGTTCATTAGAACAGACCAATTGTGATATAATATCAAGAAAAATAATTGGCATTCAAGCTTCTTTAATCATGCAGTTCAAGTTAACCTGTGACCTCTATTTGTTTGTCTACTGTTGCGCAGTGTTGAACAACACAAACTTTTTCTCTTGTTTATGTATTGCCATTTAAGTTGGGTGTGCTACCTGACAGTATCGTTGCCATCGCCGCTGATGGGTCAGAGCAGCAGGTGGCTATTTCTGGGTCCTGACGAAATGGAGAAACCCTGACTGGCTTCCGAGAAGTCACTGGCCATCAATCTCTCCTCAGAGTGTGTCTATTGCTCTCTCGGGCTATGACAGTATGGTGCCTTGGCCCTTTAAAGGCCAACAGTCCCAGTTACACCATGAGACTGAAGACAGAAGACAGATAAGGCTTTGGCCTGTTTCAAGTAATCCAGGATAGGCTTGTAATGTCAGGAAAGCCTATTCGGGATGACTTGGTTCAGGAATGAGACCACCAGCTTCATAGACGAGCTTGGCTGACCTAGTTGTTAGAGTAAAACAACCCGTTTTATTGCTTCTTATAAAACAGGGTTTATCGTTCTACGATCACATAAAACTCATCGTTATATGAAGTATCATATCAAAATACAGGCTAATATAAATCTTATTTATTTAGTAATATATCATCATGAATGTGACCTGTTTTAGCACCAGTTTTTTTTGGCATATGCTGGGTTTCCCCCTTCAGATAGTTACTGAATTGAATCCATTGCAGTAATGACTCATATTTTAACTGTTTTTCCTCTGTCTACCTTCTGAATGTAGGTGTATGTGTTGAAGAGACCTCATGTTGACGAGTTTCTCAAACGGATGGGTGAACTGTTCGAGTGTGTGTTATTCACTGCAAGCTTAGCCAAGGTAAGAAATGCAAAAGGATTTTGCACTATGCAAGATATTAAGCAATAAGTTTATTAATAAATAGGATTTAACATTACTTACTGTATGTATCAGATTTATAGATGGTTACAGGGTTCCCACAGCTGTGGAAAACATTTAAGTATTTTAAAATGGATGTTTTCAGACCTGCAAATTATTTTAATTTTTTTCTCTTGGTGAGCTTAATAAATTGATTTGGGAGCAACAGTGTGCGACTTTAGTGCCCGTTTTCCTGTTTATTATTTATTTACTTTTTTTTTATACTAATCCTCATTTTCATCTATCATCGCTCTCTCTCTCTCTATCTATATATATATGAGGAATAAGGATTATTTGGGAGCAACAGTATGCCGACTTTGCTGCTATTTTATTGTATTTAGTCGTTCCAGTACTATATTACGGAGCCCCGCACATGACATGCAAGAAAAAACTAGTAGGCTAAATCATGTGCACGATTTACTATTTTGTTCTCTCGATTTATAAATTGTTCGCACGATTTACTAATTTGTTCCCTCGATTTGCTAAATCGTGCACACGATTTATAAATCGAGAGAACGAATTAGTAAATTGTGCGCACAACTTAGCAAATCGAGGGAATGAATTAGCAAACCGAGGGAACGAAATAGTAATCGTGTGCACGTTTTAGTACATCGAAGGAACGAATTAGTAAATCGTGCGCACGATTTATTTATTTTTT